AGATAACCTAAAAAAGAAAATCTGCTGATTACAAAAAAGTTCAAGATTGGGTAAACATACAGAAACCAAATTAGAAAAATGTCATTTTTAACTAACAGTGGGATAGTCAACTAATTGGTTGTGAAACCTCTTCCAAGCTCCATCATCAGGAAAGGCTATAACTATCTGGAAAATGGAAAGACATTAAAACATCATTGCTACATCTCAAGGTAATTTTATTGGAAAAACAAGGACAAAATAAGCTCAGAAGAACTCCTGCCCACTTTTTCAGACTCAGGAAGCTGCTGAAGCCGTTGCTTCAGCAGTGGAATTCCAGTCTCAAACAGAGGCAGCACATTATCTCCAAAATAGAACCTCTCCTGCAGAAAAGAGAGAAGTATGTTCAACAGAGATGGACGTGGATATCTTGAAAATCTTTAGAGCGCCTATATCACATAAAAGGATACACTTCGCAAGATAAACATAACATTGGTGATATAGATGAAATATTGTTGGCCAGTAATGTTCGTAATTAACAACGAAAATAAAGTTATAATCAACATTAGAAAGGTGAAATTTTCTGCGCTTTCAGTATAACTATGGACATTTCTGGCAAAACCATAAAAAGCATAACCTAAAAGCCAAAATAGGATGTGTATAAATTGATACTTCTGAATGATCGCGAAGTCCAGTTATCAATTAAATAAAAAAATCTTAGATAAAATCTTTGATCATCACACCAAATAAGAAGGCAATATGAATACAAAATGTACAAATCGCATATAATTACATGAGGAAATAAATTAACCTGCAATGCATGTATGTCATAGATAACTAAGCTGGTCGGACCACCCCTTGATATTGGAATATTTGATATTAATCTGGCCATTGTAAATGCAGTGGCCACATCACCTTCTTCTTCCATCCTCTCAAAGGTACCAGTTGGGAAGAAAGGTAGCACAAGTGTAAATGAGGCGACAAACAGCCTTGGAAGTGCGAATATCACAGAAAGCTGTTCAAAGATGACTGCTGGTGAGCTGAAAGATGCTAGAAAAGCAACATGCTGCCCACGGATATCATGTGCGTTGTTAATAAAGAGATTTGGGAAACAATCAGCGAAACTCCTGGAACATGAAATTCATATTGGTTAGTGTTTGTCCCAGTAAAGGGTCAACTATAGTACAAGTAATAGCATCATTTCAAGGTAATTAGTATGCCAAGTCAAATCCTCTAGCATACAAATTGCCAATAGAAGATTGTTTACAAAATTGGCAGGAACTAAATAATTGAATTACTGTGTAACCAATGCGAAAATAACGCAAACTTTTCCTTTGCCCCGGTTATTGTTTAAAACATCCGTCTCTTTTTACCACTAAACCTCGACGAAATTTAGGTTTCTAATAACTGAGAAATCCTGAGGGCCTGCTGGTGTAGGGTTCGAAACTTGGTAGATAATGCGTTTCACCCCTCTACTATAGTACATAGCATCATATCAAGGTTAATAACTACATCAACTAGTCGAATGCGCCAATTACAGAATATGCAGGAACTGAAAACTTGAACTTCTGTGTAACCACTAACCAATGCAAAAGTGATGTTATATAACCCTTTTCCTTTGCCCTGATTCTTTTTTTTTTTTAAAAACAAACATCTTTTACTACTATACCTCAGCCAAAAATTTAGGTCTTGCTGTGTCATTCCTCAAACGTCCGTCTAGTTTAGCAAATGATAGCCAGTCTAAAACCAAGATAAATGAATAGGGTTGTGGTAGGTTAATGTTCATCATACAAATATATTCAAACAATGATCAATTCTATGAATGAAAAGCAAAATCGATACTGAGAATTCAACATAGCTGAAGCAATATATTTAGCGATTGATTTAGGTCATTACACCATTATAGGAAAAAGGTTAAATTAGCCCATATTACATCTGAAATTTAGCAACTTTGCTCTCCTTATACTTTGGGTCTAATCTTACCCTGGCTATTAGGAAAAAGTCTTGTTTTTCCGTTGACCACTAACGGAGCTCCAAGGTGAAGCACAACAGAGAGAAAATTTTAAACCATAGAGGATAAATGGACTTTTTTCCTCAAAAGTATTTTAATACGTGGAATTAACCCATTTCACAATAGAACCGGAGTCGGAGCCAAGGATTTGACGTTTATGGGTTCGGGATTCTAAATCTTTAAGTTATTGAGTTCTAAATTAATAGTCTATTGGAAACAACCTCTCTACATTCACAAAGGTAGGGGTAAGGTATGCATACAAACTACCCCAGTTCTAAATTAATAATTTGTACCTATTCAACGAATTTCTTAAGACAAATACATAATTCGAAACAAAGCTACTGGGTAGAACTCTGTTAATTGAGTTGC